CGCGGTCGTCAAGATCAGTTCTTATTTACTGTCCATTTTTCTTTCATGACAGAGTACGATGCGAAATAGAATCAAAATTACGGAGATAATTTAAACTGGTGTAATATAATGAAAGTCGATGGTGGTAGATTTCTGAAGTCCTATTTGTTGATCACCCCGATTTTCCATTTTCGGAAATAAATTTTCTCGCGAAATTTCGGTGTGTTAGAAAAATTCTATATAAAGACTTTATTTTGGTTTCATCAACCCATTTCAAACATCGCTGCTGATAGCTCCTATCACAGACTATTCTACTCTAGACATAACGCTTTCATTAAGGTTCAAAATTATTTTATATTGAGAATCGTGTTTATTGATCCATCGCAAATTGAAATAGTGTCGAGCTATCCGCGGTAATCTGCCACTACGAATAGTGAAGTTGAAGAACTTGATACCGAGAATGAGATCTTCCTGGCGTTGCATTTTGAGCCTTTCATGAGGCTTGTTGTGTGCACTTATAGAGTGCAAGACGCGTGTTTCGTCCATACAGTCTCGTCAGTTGCAAGGCGCCTTTTCCTTTAGTCAATTTCCTAAGAATCTACTCCTTCGTAAAGGAATCGACGGCAAACTTTTCACACTCGACGTGCAGTGAAACGATCACCGTGGCCACTTTCGCAGTGGAAAATCTCAGAAATGGATTTGAGAGAAACACCATGGATTTCTACAACTTCTACCCCTTGTTTCAGACTACTTTGGCAATCTAACTCATATTGGACAATGAACTCAGAAGAAATTGGTTTAAGTAGAAAGACCGAATTAAGATATCATTGAGCACAATGCCCGATTTAGCAATACTGCATTCCTTATTATGTACAATGAACTTACCCGAAGTAACCATATCTTTTTTATGAGCGTAACTTGAAGATTTAGAGCAAAACAGTTCTAGGCCCAGTTGTGACAGGTGTGGTTGGTACAACGATGCCTCGATACTGTTTGTTTGGCGATACGGTCAACACTGCCAGTCGGATGGAGAGTAATGGGAAGCGTAAGCATTCCTCAGTGATTGTTTTCGAATCAAAAACCCTGGAATTTTACCACACTAAGACATTCTCGGATAAGAGTGTTTCAGCCGGCCGAGTGCATATTTCCACAGATACGATGAAGTTTATAACGGAAGTGATTGGCGGATATAAAACGGAGCCTCGAGGAGAGATAGTAGTTAAGGTAGGTATTGTACAAAGTAATATTTGCTCCTTTATTTCATTTTAAACGATCCATCACCACAGTTTTTTAAGCAAATTCTAGCGCTTGTCGCATTTGATTCATACTCCGCATTCATTCTCCAAGAAATTCTTCCAACATTCCACGCACCGCTGCAGCTGCTGGTTGTGGTATTCGCCTTGTTTATGAATGCCTTAGAGTGTTGATCAAGACAAATTTTCTTTCTGTCGTGGAAGAATTGAGCTATATAAGCGTTCCCTAGGGTTTTCGCTTGTTGATTGCAAGAAAAAATTCGGGTAAAAAATCGCCTCATTTCTCGGCTTATCACCAGCTTTATGAAACGTTGCATTAATAGCCAATTCGCTATCGCATACTCATACGGTAAAATACATAGTAAAGCGTTTTTTTTAAACAGTTGGAAATTATCCAGCGCTCTGGATGTATGCAGTGCAAAAGTTTGAGGAGCTCGCCAATACCCGCACGCCTATTCTCTTGAGTCCGCGCCGTGAGCTCAGAGAGCTTTCTACCATACAGAAATCATTAAATTTGTTCAGGAATTGTTTGGAAAGACAGGAACACTGACTGAATTTATCGAAAGGCCACTATGAGCCATTATATAAGCTATATATACATCCATTTTGGTCTTTCAAAGTAAATGATACTTGCTTTTGAGGTTTGTGAACAAGTATCATGAACCCTTCGCAAACGTTTGAACTCATTCTCAGCTGTTAGAAGTGTTGTGTTAGATATTATTTGTCTTCATGCCGAATCGTGCCATTCATCTGGCTACGATAGATAGCTTTGTTTAGGGTAAAGGAGTTGTGGAAACTCATTGGCTACTGACTCCCGAAGAGCAAAATCAGGCTAGAGAATGATATATTGGAGAATGCTATATAAAATTGTGCTAATTTAGTGATAGTTTCGATGTTAGTTAGTTCTGTGTCCAGCTGTGGTAGCGTCACTCATTGATAAAACACTACGTTAAATTGAAAACATTGTTCCTGTTGTTCTTCCTTCGAAAACTTGCTGGTTGCAAGATTTGGCAGATTTTCTTTCAGCGTCGTAAATGTGTGAATCAGTTTATTTTTCGTAAGCGACCTCTACGTTTGTTCGATGTAAATTTCTCCATATGAACAATTTTTCATTCGTGATCAATTTTGATATTCATGGTTCAATATACAATTAGTTACAGACATGTTAGTACAGTCTTGAACAGCATTGAGTCTGAGCTATGCCCATGTAAAAAATGTTGGGGTAGTGATGGCATTGTGCGACTTCTCACAAAAAGAGAGATGGTAAATTTTAAACATGACGAAAACATACTCAATGTTATCGCAGTTATGGGATTTATTGTGGTGTAAGTGACGCGAGGCCAGAAGAGCTGGTGGTCTAAAGAGCGTTGTTTAGGCTAGAAAGGACGAAATTATTTCCCAATACATCTGCGTACCATCCGTGATAATTTACTATGGGTTGGAAGGAAAGTTCTGGGCACTTGTAAAAAGACTAAACACTTATGCATAAATTCCAAACATAATCTATGAAAACTATTCTTATAAATGAAGGCCATTGTTTTCACGACTTTCCGCTATCGGTCTGCCAAGTTTTGGATCTGGTCGGAACCTTTCCTTAGAGTGCGAATCAAAGAACTTTTGACATGCTTCTTCAACTTCGGCGAACGATTAAAATCGACGACTTCAAAAAAGTTGCAAAAAAGTGTTGCATTGATGGAAAAGGCAAAAGTCGGTTTAAACGCAATTTGAAATGTGGGCGGGATGCTGCAGAACCTTGAGTGCGTCCAATTCATCAGATTTGCTTGGCAGTGTGCGGTCTGGGAATGTATAGCTTCATCAAAACGCGCTTTCATCTGACTAAATCCGAGTACTTCTTCTTGAGGTTGTCGTAGAACTGGGCCTAGCTATTGACATGAGAGTTCAGTTTTGACGGACCTGGCGCTCGGAATTAACTCAAAATGCGAGACTCCTTCAAAATTCCACCAAACAGAGATCACGACCTTCTTACCAAATCAGTTGTGCTTCGGGACAAACGGCGTAGCTTGACAGATCTGAACTCACTTCTTGTCTCTATTGCGTTTCCCAGGTACACCCACTTCTAGTCCAAAGTCGTAATGCATGTCCAATAGGTTATTCAGTGAATTATTGAGCAGTTGGCGACAAATTTGGATCCTTTTGGCTTGTTCTTCAGTGAACTCGTACGGACCTTGTCGTGGCTTCCTGTGGACAAAGTTGGGCAGGTGGAGATGAATTAACACAGTTGTATGAAAGGCATCAACTTTGGCTTCCAATTTGCGAGCACTTGGCGACGGTTCATCTGTTGAAGAAACAATCAGATCTTCGTTGTTTAACTTTGCTGGACGTTCTGAATGAGGCCTGTCACTGAGGTCAAGATTCCGCGGTGAAGAAGCGTTGAGACGCGCGTCCAGCAGCAGAACTTCTTGCTGTACCTCTTACTTCAGTCTCGTCGAATTCATCGATAGCTGCTCGATGTATGAGATACTTTCTCCAAAATGACGCAATAAGACACAAACTTCTATTTAATCGATGAGCATGGCGGTGGTTTGTAACAAGGTGAAAATAAAGACAAATAATATCTAGGACTTTAGTGGGATTATCCCAGAAATGAAACTGTAATATTTCCACAATATACATGGGAGATATTCATGCTTATTAAAGTACTCCAGAGCTTCCTTATCTAGTGTACTAGTGAGGCTGAGCTTGTCATACAGGATGGCGGGGTTGTATGCCATTTGGCACCTTTTTTCGTAAAAGTAAGCGCGCACGCACTGTGTGTTGCTCTTGCTTTGAATGGAAATTTCGGCCTTTTAATCATTCGTGAGTGCTCGGTTGATTTTCTTTCCTATTTTCGCTTTTGATTTCTGCCTAACATCAACTTCGAATCAACAGGTAAGAAGTCCGACCGAAGCTTCATTGCCGAAATTCATCTATTGGAAACGACATCTAAAGACCTAAAAACGACCTTGCAAGGTTTCATCGGGAAAGCAAGGAATATCATAAGCACGACCAATATGTACTGGGACCCCACAGCTAATGAAGAAGGACCATCTGAGTATCTAAGTAAACAATTAAGTGAGTGTCGAAATCAGTATGATTGGGTAGTAATGTTTTCGGTGATAGCCACAGGTAGCTTCAAAAACCACCGAGACAAAACTAGAATAAGGGCTTTGATGGTGTAATGACCATGGTGTGATTCTTTAGTAAGAGTGATCACGGGTTCGAAGCTCACTTGGAGTTCCAAGTCTTGCTCATATCACAGATCCTCGCAGTTATACTTCACATCATGCACTAAAGTTTGCGCACTACTGATTTTCACAGTGACCAGCATCATTAATGTGCAGATTTGAGCAAATATATTCAATTCCTGCTTCAAATCTAGGATTTACGAAGTATGGTCCATTAAATGTTTTTCAATGCCAGTGAATTAGATTTGGAATCCTTGAATAGCTCCGTAAGGACGTTTTCAGACTGTTTGAAGAAAAAGATGCCCCAGCCTAAAGACTCTTGACTGGGAGCTTTTCAGAACTTTGGTTGGGTCGAATCAGCGCTTGTCTTACCGGGACATGTAGACTACACCAGATTCTCAGTTTATGCGAGGTGTTCTGGAGTTAGCTTCGAAAGTTTCTTGAAGGCGCAGGTCGCATTATATTTCATGTGAGTAGTTCTACAAGAGAAACATGATATGAACTCTAGCATACTTTATTTGGATGGCAGAAAGTAACTATTATTTGTAATACACCTAAGAAAATAAGTGGTGAGCAAAAATACGACCTCAGACGGGAGTCGAACCCGCGTTCCATACAGACCGAGGATGTCGGCTACCACTACACCACCGAGGTAAACTTGAGCCATCACTCATTTTTCAACATCTCTATAATAGCTAGCAGTCACCAGACTTTCAACAGATTTGCTCGGGTGCGCGATTTCGCTTCAGTAACCCAGTTGAGCTGACAGCCTTTGTGATATTGTAATACTTATAAGTGGTGGAGCGAGTGTACCTCGGTGGTACAGTGGCAGCACGAGTACTCAGTGTGGATAAAACACGGGTTTAACTCCCGTCTAAGGTCGTATCTTTGCTCACCACTCAGGTCTCTTAGGTGTGCTAGAAACATCGTACCACTGCGAAAAATGCAGTCAAAACATGAGAAATTACAACTATTATTTGCGATGGCGAAAAGTCGACTATGAAATTTAAGCAGCATGGGCTTTGTACTACTCCATCGGTTACTTATTACCTCGTTTTACCGGTTTTTATAATCTGGTTTGGCCATTTACGGCTTTGTTCATTGCGTTGAAAGAAGATTGGTATCATAAACTGCTCTACTTGCTCATTTTCTCAACTCGTAATATCGCATCAGACGCGTCCCCATAATCAGCTTCAGGAAGTGATTTGCAGTACAAAGTCTCTTTATAAGGTAATTTCTGCAAACTTTGGGATCACGTTGAGACACGCTTCTAAAATAGGTACATGATCGGATGAACTAGATTAGGTATGGTATTAAAGTGCGACTATAAACAGCCTTGCTAGGGTGCTATCTACACCGTTTGCATCTTTTAACTTTCCAAAAAAATGGAAGCGGACATGGATACCCTTTAATACTACGAGGATTGGGAATATGGACCACATCGTGCAAACAATGGTTCCAAAGGTGTGCCAGAACAACTGATTTGACACTTAAATAGAAAAAGCACTTGTCAACGCATAAGAGAAACTAGCACGTCGGTTATGAACATTTTGATGTCCTTCTAAAATCATCACGAGCTACTTACCGGAGGGCTCGAGAGCTTTGCTGACTTGAGGCCCATTTTTGACCTCTGTTTAACCATTGTCGAAGGTAGAGTGGTGTGCAAAATCGTCTGCGTTAACCGGGATTCGAACCCAGATCTCACTCTTTCAGGAAGCATGGGCTAATCCGTTGCACCACCGACGCGTTGGCTGACGCAAGCGTTTTTGCACACCACTCGACATCATTGGTATATTTAAACATCATAACACCGCAATAGGCAACCAAATAAAAATGATTTCTCATTGTCGAGGGATTGTTGTTCGAATGAATAAAATTATAGTCACATCTGATAACACCGCACCAAAAGCTTTTACAATTTGGAAGAAATAAGGACGCATAAAATACTAGATGTTATAATTCAGAACTCCGACTCTCTCTTGACTTGAGCATGATTAGTGAATATGCAAGATTACTTTTAAACTGTCCATCTCCATAATTGAAACTTGCACGAGGTAGATACTCCTTTTTTGCAACTCGATGGCTAGCGTTGCGAAGACCCCGTCCTCATCAGAGTTTAGACCTGCTACGTCATGCCATACGTGATATTCGGTTAATATTCGTATGCATCAAGAATCTGATACAAGATAATTCAACAGCCTGGTTACTATACAAAAGTCCCACCTTGTCACTTATATGGTCAGGGTCAAGGTGTTATGTGTGAGAACACTGTGAGAAATAAATCCTACTCAGACTGGAAAACGAATTAGATAAGGTGCCATCTCATCTTGTTATGTTCAGGCACCCTCCCTTTCCATTCATTCTTGGACATTTGCAGTAAATCAAAAAGCCTCGAAGGTTTTTCAAGCTGACGTTTTAGATTCATACCCTAAGATTCTTACCACCATATAGTGGTAGATTTCTTGAACTAAGAGATTACGAGAGCATGCCTAAGTTTAGGCCTAGACTTGAGCTCAAAAAATTGATGGGATCCAATAACATTTAAAGTTTGAGAAGAATCGGGCCAATATAGCAATCCGAAAGCGCATCGCTTTCAAAGCATCGCAGAACAAGCATAACATTGAATTTTCTTTTGTCGGTGGCGCAACGGTTAGCATACGCTCCCGGACAGAGTGAGATCTGGGTTTGAATCCCGGCAGACGTAAATGTTTTTGCACAGCACTCCACATTATTGGGTATGACACTGAATTTTTTTTTGAAACATGTGTTGCGATCAGTTTCAAAAGGAATCTAATGTTTTGAGAAGGGCAACATCATGTTAAATTAGAAACGAGTTCGCGGGCGCAGTTGTAAAAATTGGAAATTTACGAACGAATTCTATACAAAAATAATAATAACTATTCTTTAAAATATAGACACCGTCTTCTACAATTTTCTGCTATTGGTCAACCAAGTTTCGAATCTTCTCGAAGTGTTGATGGTTCACCTTTCAAAGCAGCAATCCAATCTTCGTTGCTCAACTTTGTTTGACGCCGTGAACAAGGCTTGCCTTCGAAGTTAAGACCACCGGCATTAAAGCGCTGAAACCAGCGTCCAGCAGCATATTTTACTATTTATAGCTTGCCCTTCAACTTCGCTGATTTCATCGACAGTAGCTCGCTGTGAAAGATTTTTTCTCAGACGTGACGAAACACGAACTTCGATTGTATCGTTGGACATGGAAGAGGCCTAAATCAAGTGAAAGCAAAGACGAATAATATCTAGGCCCTCAGTGGGGAATTCTCCATAAGAAACTGTATTATTCCGATGATATGCATGGAAATTATCTCATGCTTATTAAAGTAGAGCTGAACTTCTTTTTAACCTTAGTAATATCTTTTTTGAACCTAGAGTTGAAAATTAGATATGTTTCTGTTAATACAATAGGCAGCAAGCCTTTAGTAAACAAAATCTTTGACTAGGGAAATTTTTTGCAAGGACTAACACTCAAAATTTCACCATCATCTAATTTTACAATTATCATAAACGATGAATGTGTTTGAAAAAATTGGGTAATGTGCTGAGATCCACAGGCTCGTAAAGTGTGATCGACCGAGCATCCATGCGTATTCCATTTGTTTTAACTGCAAACTTTTCAGTGATCAAGTAGTTATAGAGTAAGCCAATAATATCTCTTTTTGATCACCCTAGAAGCTTTTCACCTCGCTTCTGTGTAAAAATTGCGAAGTTATTACTACTTCACTTATACGTCTTAGCTAGAAAGTCGACCGTTCTGATATGCAATAACGAGACCTTTTATGGAGGCTCTACGAATTGGTAAGCTGTGTGAGATGAGATGTTTGCAGATCAACTTTCCTGTGATTATTACAAAGGAAAAGTTGCTTGCTAAACTGAACCCCTTGAAGACAGCAATTGAAATCGCTGCACAATGCGATACGGGTGTGAAGCGTGATTTTTGTTACTTATTTAGAGTTTTTCTCCGTCTGAAAACTTTTCTTGGGTTTATCAGAACCTTAGTGTTCCGTACTTCCCATATATACTCCCATATTTTTTGTGCATGTAGCTGGCAAACACTGGACGAATGTGATAGGTGGAGATGTCGATAATATCATGGAAAAAAATGCACTCGTCACAAATTTTGCCTTTTAGAATAGTGGTATTGTGATAGTCAGATAATGAAGAACACTATAATTGAGGAGACGAAGAGATAACTGTTAAGTGGTTAAGGATGGTGGTATCATATAAGAGTCTACCCATTTATGATGATGGAAAGGTGCTCAGGGAAAATGGATTAGTGCAAAGAGACAGTTGCCCTTGCGAACTATGCATGACCGGTGTGGGATGGTCTATTGCGAGGGAAGAAAGTTTCTGTCAACGGATAAACGCTTAGTCTAAGACACCACTCTCTTAGATTTGAAGATATCTATCGGTCTCGGCTTTCAAGTGCCATCACACTGCTCAGTCTAAATCAGTACTGTAGCCGTCAATCGGTGTTTGAAAAGGCACTTTCAACGCCCGGTATTATGTGAAATAGTAGATTTCTAAAGATCATCATCAGTCATGTGCATTTTTGAGACAATTCAAGATACAGCAGAAAAAACCGACAAAGCGTTCGATAGAGAAATTGTATACTTTATTGAAATGGCTAAGTAATTGTTGCAGAAATGGCGAACTGCAAATTGATTACATTGGGACGTACAAGCCTCCGATTATTTTTGAGAACTACTTGCTTTTTTACGCATAATGTACAAATTATGTAAGAAAGGTACACTGCGAACCACTAATGATTTTTGGGTTTAAACTGCTCGTGGTTGATGCTGTTTAAATAAGATATTAGTTATTGAGTATATGTTTAGAGCAGAAGATCTATAACAATAGTAAAATGTAAATTATAGATCAAGAGTATCCCTTTCTTCAAGGATGTACTTCTCATTTCTCGAAGAACTACTCTCCACTGTGATGCAATTTCGCAGTCCCTACGCTTATTCCAACTACATAATGGAAGGAAATCAGTATGAAGTTTCTTTAAAAACTCTACTTTGTAGAAAATGAGCTTTCGAGTTACATTATAGAAGGTGACACATTAATAATAAACAATAGAGGTCTGAAACATGATATTTTTCGCAAGGAGTGATTTTCTCGCTGGAAAATAAAGACTTTCAGGACTAGTAGGCTTTCTTTATACTAAAAACACCTCCATAAAGATTTATGTCTGTAAAATTCTATTTTTATAACAATAAAGTGCTTCTGACATACAAACTCTACTATATAAACATCAATAAATGCGCTGTAAAGTTGAGGAGCTAATTACTGTGCTTTCACAAAAACACTTAAGAAATCTGTGGACACAAAAGCTTAGTGTTAAGATCACCATGTTCCAAGCCAACAAATGATTAAATAAAAATGTAGTGGAATAGCTCTATCCAGCAAAAGAAGTTTCTAAATAGTCGTGTACCCGAATGTTCATGCTCTGTTCCCTAATAGTTCATCATGCAAATAGACACTGTCTGCAGGTTAAGTGACAAATCTTGGTTCGTCCTAATCTTGGCTACGTGGAGAAATAGTCCTCTAAAGAAAAACTGAACCTTAGTTCATATCTCTTTGTTCTCTCGAATGCACAATCTGAAAAATTTTACATGCGCAGATGATTAGATTAGACAAATCGTCTTCAAAAGTCGTCCGTTCTTTTGTATTTTGTTTCAATCCCTCTTTTGATTCTTAAAAGACCAGGTTCGACGCGAGTCTGGTTACAGTCTAAAGCGTCTCCTACACTCATTGACATATTGTACTGTTGACCGATATCCTAGGTTCTCGAGGGAGTCTAGCTGGACCACTCCACATCTCCACCACAACTGTTGGGGATGTTGTTAATCCCAGAGGTTTGATGTCTAGCCAGATTTCTCTTAGGATGACAGTGACTGTTTGATTAGCCGCCATACTTTGAGTACAAATGATGTAGTAGCCTGATCTCAAACTAAAACATATTGTTTATAATAAGTAAATAAATGGAAAAAGCGCTTGAGGTTGATCAATCCCTAATGGATGTGCCACAAATTCCATATCAATTTATAGATCCTAAAGGGACGGAAAGTTAAGTGAGCCCTTTGAGTGAGATCGAACTATGAACCATCGATTAATGAATAATTTGACGCATTATATCTTTACCACTGGGTCACAAAGGCTCTTCTTTATAATATAAACGACCGAAGAAATCACCAGCAGCAAGGAAGCATCGAATCAAGAAAATCAAATTTCAAGTTTTTCCTTAATCTCTAAAAGCTTTAAAAAGCTTAGGATTATCTATGTCTTTATACAAGCTTACGGAATAGTTTCTAAGCTGTTTTCGTTTTTGTAAAGTAGAAGCAGGATATTTCATTCAATTAGTATTATTGCAGATCGATAAGTATTAAATTCATATCTATGCGACCTTTCACTTAGCAAAAATTAATCTCTATTGTAATCATCAAAAAGAAGACATTGTTCTCTAGCCGTAATTTTTTGAAAAACAACGGATTTGAGGACGAAATTTTCCCACCAGGAGAGTAGCGCAATTTCTAATCCTCGGTTTTTTTTTATCTAGATCGTTGATTAACAACATTAGTCTTTGGCATTCAAAGGTTGCGATTAGCCTTTCAATGCGCTTGAGAGGTTTCAATCAAACCAGTCATTTGAAATGAAGACTGTCAACTTACTTACTTTTTGTCACCGACGACAGCATCCAACATGCTAGTCACCGCCGTCACGTC